TTTTTTTTTTTTTTTTTTTTTTTTTTTTTTTGATTTTTTCTGTCGTTATAATAATTTCAAAAACTAATCTACTATCTCAAGAAAAGAAACATAAACTATGATATATAATAACAAAAAGTTGAGTACTTTTCAATTTATTTATCTTTTGTTTTTTTGGTGAAAAAAATGAACATATCTAGAAAGAAGACAGGAGACAATTGGAAGAGGTGAGCGATTACATAAACATCTGACAACATCTGACAAAAAAGTTTTTATTTTTTTTGCTTTTTTTTCTTTTTTTTTTTTTGTTTTTTTTTGGAACAGAAGGCATAAAATTACAGTTGTAATAAGTGTCAGTAAACTGTAAAAACAAAACAAAACAAAAAAAAAGCAACAAATTAAACAAAGCAAGAAAAAAAAATTGTTGAGATTCATTCTGTCTAAAAGGCTATACAAAAACCTTTCATCAAAGTACCGGTGTATTAATACATAAAATTTGCAACTTACACATAATTACAGAACGTACAATAAAAACAGAAAAAAAAATAAGAAAGAACGTTAAGAAACAAAAAACTGTGAAGATTTTCTTATTTTTTATCTGCTTCTACTTCTGCTTTTCCTCTTTCTCCCTATCGTTTTCTGCTTCTTGTTACTTTCATAAATTATCTTCACTGAATCTGGTGCTCATTTCTTCCGTATTTCGTCGATGATATCGAAAACGTGATGAACGACAAAATTTGAAACGATACTGCGGCAGTACGGTGACCGTTATTAATGGATTCAAAATCTGCAACAGAACAAAAACTGTACGACGGTTGATATGATTCATTTTACTGTTTTGGTTTTGTGTTGAATCAGTTTTATCCTTTGTCAGCATATAAAATTGTTGACAACTTTTGTACTTATATTTCGAAAAGCAAAAAAAAAAATGATGCAAAATAAACGAAAAAAGAAATTCTGTCAAAATAAATCAGCGTATATATTTGTTTGTCTTTGTTTAATCAGATACTGTTCATTTGCGTTGTACCAAATGTTGATGGTTTAATATTGTTAAAATCTTCTTGCAGTTACTCTTCAGCTTATTTTCTACTATTCTGCTATCAGCTAAATGAATATAAGCCAAAGATAACAACACTATACTTCTTCCAGAATCTGAAGAAGCAGAACAACGAAATAGTTCCAAGATATGGTACTTACCGCATTAAGGTTTTGTATATGTAATGCAATTTGACCAATTAGTGTATATAAACATGGCGATACAGAATATGTAGTTTGTCCACTTTTATAGAGCATATAAAGCCGGAATGGTACAAGTGTTATGAAGGTAAAAATTGTTGAAACAAATATAAAATAAAAAGTTCGCATACGAGCTAACAATTGCCGATTCCGTTTTGCTCCACCTGTTGTTGATACCAAAGCTTGTTCTAAAAATGTATATTTAGCTGTAAACTTAGGTTACAGTACTGATACTTTTGAATATTACCTAAACAATTTAATTTTTAAAAGCACTGCAGTTTGAAATTCTTATTTTCTATTTGAAATATCTAATATACTACTTTTTTATTACGCTACTATCAATAGTGCAATCAATTTTGGGCAACTTTTTTTCTACTTTTATACACTGATTCACCAGCCTTTTGCACTGTCAATGTTTGATTATCCTAACTGAATACTGTAACAGTTTTTCAGATTTTTGCTAACCAAAGTTCTTTTTCTCGCAAACATTCCAAATTTTTAAAATTTCAAACAAAAAAATATGGAATAGCTTTGAGTTGGTAAAAGT